CTCGAAAATTAGTGCCTAGAAAGCCGAAAACTTATATTAGGTTGCGAAAGTTTTGTCGGTTTTTTCAGACCACTATAAGACTACGCACAATGAAGATCTGAATGAGCTTTAGCATGTATTCGATGCAGTTTTTCCTTCTTTTTCTTGTGGTTACATTTTCGAATCACAATTCTGTATGCTTTCTTTGATAATTGCTGAAATTCTTTACCCGTCAATTTGGCCGGCTCAAAGTTCGGCTAATTTTTGAATTTCATTTTGAAGTTTCGAAAAGGTTCAAGTAAAAGTCAAATAAAGCACTCCTCGGAGTATAAGACAATATTTTTAAATTCTACTAATTTGCTAATTTTCGCTTCAAGAAAATAATTTCTTCAGAGGTCACGGTTTTTGGTAAAGTCATGAAACACGCAACTGCAGCAAAAACATGAAAACTTCTGAAGTTTCTGCGAATTGCAACATGTTTCTTATTGAACACTATTTATGCAACATTACCCAGTCTGACTTGCTTTGAAAAAGCACCTTTTTGGATTTTTCGGTACTTTTACGTGGCAAACGTAATCAAAAAGCCGCGGTTGTTATCAAATAAATAATTATAAGGGACTTGGTAAACGTGAACCACGTAATCTAAAATGGGTACAATATAGCCAAAGTTTTGCTCTGTATAACAGTTACCACCGCTCCTTAGAAGTATTGGGATGTAAATTTTTGAAATTCAGGAAAAGTTTGGCGGTACGATAGCACTGCAAAGACAGGGTAGGTCAGAGAGCAAATACGGCTGTAAGAAAGAGGATAAAAATCTAATCAAATGGTACCTAGAACGTCTATGGGCTGGTGTTCTGTAAGTTTTATTGAGCGATGAAAGAACCGACAAAACTTTCGGAACAACCTAATATTTGTACTTCTACAGGCTAGTAGTATAGAAGTGAACTATGTGGGCACAGCACAGCATCGCTTTAGCAAAAGCATAAGAATCTTCGTTTTTTTAATTTCTAACCAAGGAAAAATACGGCAACAGTGTGTACAGATGTCTTACAATTAGATGGATAGTGTTTGCGCGAGCAAGTTACAACTTTTGTAGGGTTTTTTAAACGCAGTTATGATTTTTTTCTCGATTTTTTTAAGCTGTTGAATCTTTTTAGTTTTCGGTTTGAAACTCGTTATGGATCAGAGCTGTTGCAAAAGCGAGATAGTCTCTTATAGAGCTTGCTTTGCTCTATCGAACAGTACCTTGAAACCTATCTAGAAACAAGAAGTTCGTGATTTATTGCAATTGAAAATTAAAACGGACGAAACTTTTGAGAAAACCTGATACATATATCTCGCAAAGAAAGTGTACAAACAAGTAAGGGGCCACAAGGGGCATCTTGTAGTCCACAGATAGCAGATCTTACTTAGCATACAAGTGATATTCTTTTATTAGAAAACAGATAGCGGAGAAAAATAGTAACTGCACGTATATAACTACACTTTTAGGTATATCGATGACATACTACATATGTCCAACGACTTGTCTTTGTTTACAAATAAGCTCAAGGATACATATCATTTCTTCTTTAGAAATCCAACCTACAGCGTACAAAGATTCACAAACAAATTTCTTGGATCTCACGATTTTCTCTAGACACAGTAGACTGAAGTTTTTCATGTATAATAAAACCGATGATTAGGACTTCGATGCTACTAGATAACCAAATTGGATGTCCAATATACCAAGATCTATCAGATTCAATACACTTGCATCCAAAGTAGTTGAATTTTCTAAAAACTGCTCTGCTCTTCTGGATTTCAAACACAGGGTTCTGGAATTAGGGATAACTGCAGCAAGAAACTGCTGGGGGAGGAGTAATTCTATTAGAACACTATATCTTATCTTTCATGATAGACCTTCTATAATATTTTACGCAACTATGGATTCATATAGCGTGCATCTCTTAGTTATGCATGAAATGCGGAATGCGTGGCCCATTACCAACGAAGATTCAAAATGGCGGAAAATAATTCATTCAAATAGGACTCTACATCAAACGAACATCAGATAGCAGTTTGCTTCAGTATCTCTTTGTTGCATTCATAAATATTTTCATACGCATTTCATCATATTCCTCATATCTTTGCATAAGTTGTGTTTTGGACACTTTCTTGGGAACTACTGATGAAAATGTTTCGACACGCGGCACCAAGAAGGTCGCATATCTGGTCTAGTTTTTAGCGCCGAAACCGTATGCACAAAAACATATATTGTTTTGTCTTCTTTTTGTCTTTTCTCTTTCTCTTTCTTTTACATAGGCTTTATTGACATTAAAGCTTTTCCTCTACTGTGCTGAAAGCATCTCACAAGGAAAGGATGGTAGGTCGAAGTGGTCTTTTGAGATGGGTTGTATATCCTGGTGGAGAGCATAAAACGCTGATTCCAAATCTTTCTTCCTCATCTGCGGCACGTTCCTGGACGAGGAGTTATGAGGGTTATGAGAGTTTGAAGGAGCAAAAAAATGAGTGTTTTTGTGGGATAAAAACAGTTGCTTATACTTTCCCAGCGCTTGAATGAGAAAGCCGGAGTGCGGATACATCGTATTTATCCTATAGAGTGCTGGGAAGATTACTGTTGGTTCATTTAAGCGCTAGGAATAATGTTACTATTGTTATTTAATTTTTTCTCCAATAAGCTCATAACTTCTCGTGCAGGAACGCGCCGCAGATAAGGAAGACAGATTTGAAATCAGCGTTTTAAGCTCTTCAGTTGTAGACAAAGGTAATTGAAGGTAATTTGAGATCAATTTGTAAACTCTATCCGTTGTTATACATCGTATGATGAATGGCAGATCATTGTCACACAGATTGGCTAAGTCTTTCACATTCTCGTGTAATACCTGAGTGATCTCCAGAGGAACACACGAAACAGAATAGTATTATACATGGTTAACGGTACGGTCAAAGACGAAACTTGTTTCTAAAATAAACTATGTTTATTCAAATTAGCTTACAAAGGTGGGATCCGGAGTCAAAAACAGCTTTCCAAATGAAATATATACTAGTTTGTAGAACATCAAACGCTGATTCCAGAACTGTCTTTGTAATCTGCCACTTGCCTTTAGGGGTTGAGTTATGAGCGTTCTTCGCCTCAGAAAACCGAACACTCAATTGGAATAAATTTACTTAGGATTGCGGAATGGCTCAAAGTTGAATACAAAGCACTTTGGGCATGATAAAATTTCTTGTCTGGATTACTCGTACTCAGACTCCTTTATTCGAGCGCTGGAGAGTCCGTAACCTTGATTTTACCGAAATTTTGCTACTATTTTTTGCTATAAAAACACTCATAACTAGGCTTTTAAAGGCGCTTGGCAAACATAAAAATAGTTTTGGAATCCACACTTGATGCTTCTCTTGTGTATTTCATGAGGAAAGCCATTTCAACTTTGGGTTATCCCTGATTAGTTTCTGCGTATACACCATATGTGACAGATTTTGCAGACTTGAAAATCTTCATAAGCTACGACACTCGCAAGGGAATAGTCAAAATTCGAAGTGGCCAATCTCAGAAAACCGCATACCGTTAAACACTTCGTGGAGGGCTGTATCTGTATACATATCCGCCTTCGTATCTATTTATTGGTCTCTTACACCAACTTATGGCCCTAGATTCAGCCGTGGCGCCGCTGCGCGTCATAAATATCAGCCGCCCACTCAGAAGTCAAGTTGACCGCATAGCGCAGAGGTAAGTGTGCAGACTCATGAGTCCGGGTTTTGCTTGCATGTTTTTCCTTTTGCTTGCTAGTCTTTTGCAAGTCATCTCTAATATCCATACTGTTAGCGCGACGTCCCGAACAGGGTGAAGGGTAATTCAACATCTAGAGGCTTCGAAAATTCACATTTTTTATCAGTCAAACTTTCTTGAGAATTGAGGATGATCTTGGTGGAAACAAGAATAAAAATGTTGTTGAATAGAGATGCAAGAACAAACAGGAGCACAGCAGGAAGAGGAACCTGAAACAGATAAACAGAAACATAGCTTTGCCTTGATGCGAAAGATTCGAAGTTTTTACATGATGAATTACCTTTTTAAAAGCGTTAGGGACTTCGCGCTAACAATATAGATAGTGGGTATGGATTTCTAAAGAAGCAAACAAAAGGGATCGAAATTGCAAACGAAAGTCGGGTCATTCTATGACTCCACACTTACCACCGCGCTACGAGTCAACTTGTATTCTAGCTGGGCGACGTCACAGCGGAATCGAGGGAACCATAACTTCGTGTAAGAAACCGGTAAGCAGATACCGAGGGTGCATATGTAACCACTCCTCCATGAAGTGTTCAATATACGGTTCTCTGAGACTGGCCACTTCGAATCTAGACCATTATTTTGTAAGATCTGGTGCAGTTGTTGCTCTATAGTCTACAAAGACGAGATGGGAAATGCGCCAGCAATCAAAGGCAAGTAGAGTAGATTGTATTTACTTGCCTTTGTTGCTCCTATCTGTACCTCATAGAATCAGTTCAGAATTTTTGTTGTTACCGTTGTTGGAAAAAAATGTGATGAGAGGTGTTAATCACTTTTTCTCTCTCTCTCTTTTTCTGAAACTTCTCAACAATGATCTTTTGATATTTTCACGCAGTGCTTGGTTGAATCAAGAATTTTTCTTTTTACCCAACCAAAGAGCAACAAAAATAAAATTGACCCAGTTAGCTGTCCCAAATGAAGAAATATGTGAAACTAGGTCGATTTCATTTTTGTTGCTCTTCGGTTGAAAAAAAGAAAAATTCTTGATTCAACCAAGCCCTACAATGAAAATAACTATAGAAGTCTCACTCTTTTTCTCAGATGTTATAAACACCTATGACGAGCGTTTCATGTGTCTTTCACAACAGTAAAAGGACAAATTTCTCATTCAGATATTGCATTTTGGCAAACTTTCGCCAGTAATGTTTGTTTGTGCTTTTGTTTGCTTTGTTTGACCACACTTGCGGTTCCTGTAAATACTGCCTTCTCTAAAATAAATATTTCAGTCATTATTCTGCACTACAAGCCTAATGCACTGGGTAAAATGTTTACTGAGAGATCTTAGAACTTACTTTAAAACAATATGGATATTTCTGGCACCGCTGCTACTACTTCCCTTGGCTTTGCTCACTGGAAGAGTAAGCCAAACTTACTTGAGAAAACTCAGTCAAATTACTGGTATATTTTCAGGAAGGAAAATGTGCGTACTGTATTCTCGTTATGTCATGCTACTGGGTAGCTGAAGTGGTGCCACTAGCAGTGACAGCACTTCTTCCTGTAGTAATTATGCCAATGCTTGGCGTGGTACCTATCAAAAACGTTGCTAGAGCTTATCTTAGTGTGAGTTTATTTCATGCTTTAAAGGCAGTGTCCGGGAAAGAACTCGATTTTGAGATTTTGTGCTTACCCGGGCCTATTCGCTATGCTGAATCCGAAAGTCCACATTGGAAAGCGCGAAAACGACGAAAAAGGGCTCTAACACTGGAGGGAAATCAGCAAGTGGGCGGTGTCTTCCCCACTGTGAATTCACGCTTCCAGCTTCCAGAGCAATTTTCTCGAATCCGTTAGCCGTTCTGACATCACTACCGATCAAGTGCAAACGAATGACTTGAAATCGGAATCAAAAAGATCGCTTCGAGCGACAATTCACAATGGGGACGACCCCGCCCACTTGCTGATTTCCCTCCAGCGTTAGAGCCCTTTTTCGTCGTTTTCGCGCTTTCCAATGTGGAATTTCGGATTCAGCATAGCGAATAGGCCCGGGTAAGCACAAAATCTCAAAATCGAGTTTTTGCCCGGACACTGCCTTTAAGATTGAGACTTCTTAAATAATACCGGGTGCGAAATAGTAGTGTTTCTACAAGCTGAGCTAAAAAAATGGTGTGATTTTAGGATTCCCAAGTACCAAATCAGTACCAAAATAAGAACACTAGCATCTCGTAAATATTGACCTCGTAAACCTATAATTTGATCCAACTGCGAATTCCTATCTACAGCGCATCCTATTGACTTATACCATTGTCCTTTATAGGCATGGCTTACATAAAAAATTTTTTGCTCCCAGTAGAGTTCTGGAAGCTGCGTTATTTCAAGATAGTAGCGACTAGGGCCTGCCTGGCACGAGGTGGGCAAATGACAGGCTCGCTTTGCACGAAAAAAGCAAATGGGATATCGTTTTTGCGGGGTCCGGGGCCGAGTTCCTGAAAAAATTGGTAGTTTATGCTCTCCGCGTATCTTAAAATGACATGCGCCTCAATAGAGGAACACTGGAGTTCGCGCGCGTTAAACCGCGCCTTCGCTAATTGCCGCACGTGCGACGTCGCCTAAATACGACTAGTTCTCAATGTATGCGTAACGTCAGGTTTTGTAAGCGAACGAAGAGAGGCTAGTGGGAACAAAGTGTGAAAAATTACGGAAAACTTGTGTAAGCGGAAGGTAGCGTTGTTTAATTTAAAAAGCAATGTTTTTGAAAATTTTGCATAACCGGTAAGTAAAGATGTGAATTCGAATGGCTCGTTTGCAACGCACACGTGTCGATATGGTATGAAGTGTTTTTTTAAGTTGAGTACTTTGATATAGAGTTTAACATCAAATCATGTCACGAATAACCACAGTTGGAATATTACAATTGGCTTCCACCTAAAATCAAAGTTGCCTGAACATTGTCTTTGAGAAAGCAGGAAATTTGGGAGCACAAGTCTACCCAGCACGTATGTCACCATTGTGTTGTTTACAGCCGCTCCAGATGTGCTCGGATGAATGCGATGTCAAATGAGCAGCCAAGCTATTGTGTAAGTGTTTGAGTGGGTTACACGATCGAGTAGCTTGCAATACGACAGATGCGGCATTAAGTTAATTATACTAGGTTGCACCGAAAGTTCGTTCGTGCCACTTTCAAAAAATCGTAACTTCCTTCTCCCTCGGCCTTCAAAAACACTGTTAGAAAGAGGAAAGCGTATACTTTTTAACGGCTCCTTGCCTGCTCATAATTGAGCTTTGTTTGCAGAGATAAAAATGGAGAAAGAAGACCATTAAAAATTCGGAAATTTGAGCCAGACTCGTTAAAAACCCAAAAACATTGCAAATAAAATCGAAAACACTAACATTATAAGCATTCTTACCTTTTCTTTCAAGCTGAGCAAACTTTGCACCAATCGACCTCTTCATAAAGTTGTGATTTTTGGGGAAAAGTGGCAAAAATGCATTTCATCAAAAACCGCGTTTGCATTTCTTCATTAAAATCATAACTCTCAAAAGGACTCGATTAGCGCAACGTCAGAAAATCAACAGGAATAGCTGTATTGGATTTTATTGCACAGTTTTTGGATTTTAACGGGCTTGCCTCAACTTGCCGGACTTCGGAAGATTTCCTTTTTCATTTTTAGCTTTGCAATTTGAATTTAGCGGAAAGCGTTGGGTTACCGTAGAAAGTACATGTTTTATTTTTGATGGAGTTTAATTCGAGATCTTTGTAATAGAAAGAATAGTAATTGTCAGGGTTTAAAATGACGCGAACAAACTTTTGTCAAATTAATACTATGTAACTGATAATAAGCCGCCTATCTTTCAATCTATAAGTTGGTCTGTTACGAAATTACGGTGAATTTACATCGCTTTAATACATGTGAGAGTCGCATAACAAGTAAAGTTTATTTTTGTGGTTACTTAGCGGACCTTCGATTGAAACCAATACCATTTGAGTGAGTTGTAACACCTTTCATGATGGCCACTGCGAAACTCTGAGAGGTAAAGCACTGGCACTATGTATGAGCTGGGATCGCGCTCTGACCCACGAGACGGACCATCGCGACGGTTGAATGTTGTCGTTCACGCAGCAGTTCCCACCTTTCTGGTTGTTCTCCGTGCAAAACCCTGCAAGCCAATGCAAATCATCCGCTGAATACCGTACTGGGAAGTAACTGGACGCTCTTTCAATTAGCCAAAGTGATCTTTTCCGTGATGTAGTATTCTATCTTGGATAGCATAGAACGCTGCTTCGAATCTGAATGTCGGCAAAATCGCTGAAACGGGAGTTATGGAAGTTTCTTGGGGGAAACGGTTAAATGCAGTATGTTTCTTTCAGGAAAATAAATTAGCCCGAATATCTTAGAGTGAAAATTATTGCATAAAGCGCACAGACAAGTTAGCATTGTTTTTTTTTTTTGAACTAATGAAATACAACTCTGTATAGTCGAATCATTTCACATGATCATGTGTGTCATTGCACACACAGTCCACCTTTGGCGTCCTCATCCCGGATTTGCAATGGCAAAAACGCAAGAGAGTCACCTACTGTTATCGAATACATCAGTTTGAGCTGATTAGTAACTAAAAAGTAGAGAAAATGCTAAGAACACCTTGAAAACACTTGCCTGAAGGCTTGTTAATCCCACGAATTCAGGATGGGAACGTCAAAAGTGGACTGTGTGCAATGACACACATGATCATATTAAATGATTCGATTGTACATGGTTGACTGACAGTTGACAACTGACAACTGACAATCGCATGGATGAAAACAGAATAGCTCAACTTTATTGGCAAAACTTCTTCGCCAACCTAATGTCTATCTCTCACAGATCCATTCTAATCCATTGCAGATCTATCCATCTAATTCCATTCGTTCACACAAGCAAGCGGCGGAGGGTTTGCTTCGCAATCAGACCTTGCTAGTAACTGAACGATGGAACACTCTTTTAGAAAGCAAATATGCGGATAAACAAATCGAGTATGCACAAAAATCTTGAGATCATGCAGCAGTGAATAAGACAAGCAAAGCAATCAACAGAACGTTGCAAACGAATAATTTGTGAATCAACATTTGTGAGTGAAAAAAATGTTTGAGAATTAAATTCAGGAAACAAATATGATGTTCGTCAGCAGTTTGATGCTGTCACTAGCTGTAGAAGAATGTCAATTACATAAACGATTTGCTCTAAAAATGCTTACTCTTGTTGGAGCAAGACCTCAATGGTGAGGCAAACATGCAAATTCGAACAGAATAATTGGTATCGCTTTCTTTAGGTTGATGGCTGGGTTCATGTTTATAACGACGTTCATGTAAGTTGCAGCAATTTCATCCTGATGGAAAATACACAAGATTGTATGGCACCTTAGATCTATGTGGATATCAGACGCCGCTTGTGCAGCACTGATGTCACCGATAGCTTTCGCGCTTTTGGAGTCTATGATGATTAATAAGATGGCACCACTCAAAAATTGGTCAAACAGTGCAAATGGTTCAGCATTGCAAGATGATGGTTATCAAGAAGATAGGTAAGCTTAAATTACATAGTTGTCAATGATTAGCAACAACTGAATAATAGATATGTGGAGTATAAACTTCCCTTCATCTCATTTTAACGGCAACAAAGAATCTCTTCATCCATCCTCTCACATTGTTGTAGAGCCTCTAACCCTCCCCATCCCACCCCATCCCCTCCCAAGAGGTCGACAAATTTTGGAAGTTGCTTACTTGCATTACAAGAAGTCCAAGTGACTTGTTTAATACTTGCAAATAAATGAATCTTTTTGGAATTCCTAAAAATCCAGATTATCTTTGCGAAGACTTTTTTCTGAACTTTCGGAATTGTGGAAGTGCACAATTGGGTTGCGTAATAAGTTCTGTCGCATTTTTTATTTCGTCGCTTGTTTACATTTTGTGCAGTGACAAAAAATGTGCATCAGAAAGCTCTAAATCCTCATTCTTACCTCGTTCATCCAACCTAAAAATATCCAGAGAAAATCAAAGAGGCGCAAAGCCCATCTTCAAAATTTTTTTCCTTTTTTCCATTTATTAGGTTGCTGCATAAGTTCTGTCGATTTGAATTTTTTGAGTTCAAAATGTCATAACTCTCTTCAAAGTCAACATTTTTCCAAGATTTCAGTTTCTATGTGTTGAGTAATTCCTTGGCTATCAGACACATATGGAAACCTGCGCAAATTCTTGTAGAGGAAGGAGGAAGAACTCAAAAACTTCACAGCGTTTTTCCTCAAACCTGTCTTTTTTGATAGGCAGTGCTCCCTTATGAGAATTGATAGGCATCTTGTCTAACAATGGACAGATAGAGAATTTTTCGCAGATTATCTTGGTACATAAAAGAGCCCATAGGGTCTGCGTTGCCGAGAGATTTTTTTGACCGAGCAAAAAAGAAGCCACTTTTTCACCTCGCTTCAGTGCATGTGTGCATGCCTATTTATGAGTTATGAAAATTTTACAATTAACGTGAGCGCCAAAAAAAATTGGTGGATGGTCTCTGCTAGCCCTTGCTTTACCCTAGCACCTCCAACTGAAGTCGTCGATTACTTCTATTGCCAGAAAGTTATTCCTTGTAAAACATCTAGACAGAAAATTAATGTTTGACAATAAATTTTACTAGCAAGAAGTTTTCTTCATGAAACTGAACTTATGCGTATGCTAGCCTGTTACACCCTTATTCCGGAACCGATTAAAAAACTTGACCTATAGAGCGCATTATGGAGATTTCCTCGCAAGAACATATTTCTATGGTGAGAACGTACCTCGACCACTTTGAGATTTTAGCCATGAAATCTCCTTACACTAAGAAATTTATTGAAATTTGATATGCTTCAGAATGCGCAAGAAAACCACTTTTTAATGATACTAACAATATCGCATCAGAGATGAGATCCTCTTAGAGCAGCTGCTTCAAACATAAGGCAAAAATAAGATCCACTCAAGATAACTCTGCTGGTTTTACCGGGGCTCGCTGAACCCAAAAAACTGGGCCATCAGGATTTTGGAGTAAGCAAGATCCTAATTCTTTCTTCTAGGTTATTTCCCAATTTTTCGCAGCCTTCTGCGAAGCACGTGTGCACGTTTTACGGTCTAAGACTCTTCAGCTTGTTTATACCTATGCTACTATCCTATGTAGCTAGCTCGAGTGATTGGTTGGTTTTCACGTTTGTTCTGAATTCTTTGTTTTTTGGAGTGTATTAAAAATAAAATAAAGTAAAAATAACAAACTAACCAGCAGACTAATCACTTATGAAAGAAGCACTATCACCGTTTATGCTTGCTCCCTTCTCTTCAAAGTCTTTTCAAATTTGATAGAGCAAGGCGTTTCCGCCATGGCGTTCGTCCTCTCCACTTAAGTCGTTCGTCCCTTAAACTTTGCATTTCTGAGTAGATAGCCCGTGAATTGATGACTTTGTGTACACAATCTTCTTCAACTCTGGAATTTTCGTTTCTGGTTCTCTCTCACGACTTTTCGCCTGACGTTGACGTTAAAAAGTCGCCAGAAGGATCTTTATTTGGGTTACAAAACAGGGACTTTTTTTTGTTTGAGCAGTTTGCGGAAGCTATGGCAATCTTTGCATCCGTTTACGATTTTCCCGAATGTATTCTAACACGTTTCGGACTGCGAATTCGTTTGCGGTAAAAGCGCATGCACTATTTCTCACTAGTCGACATAGTGACCTCATTTTGTAAAATAAGCATCATATCTTGATCAGCAGGTCGAATTGGATCCATACGCAAATTTCCGAATGAATTCGACGTGAATTTGGTCACTGAGAGATTGGTGTCTTTTCTTGAAAGATAGAAACAAAATCTCAGAAATATCTGCTGCATGACGAAGGCATAGGGTTGAAGGCTGTCGCGCACGCGGCGCGCGGGCAATTGTTAACCACCGGGCGCGCGCACGCTCATTCAGCGGTCATCCAATGGAGCGTGCGCGCGCTCCGTGGCTGACAAGTGCCTGTGCGCTGCGTGCGCAACAGCCTTCAACCTATCTGGGCGACCGCCTTCTTTATGCAGCAGATGTTATCAAATAACCAAATCTGTCTATGTCGCACAGAGTATATCGGTATCATAGAAGTTGTTTTTCTTCTGTAAACTAAAGCAAGTAAAAGTTGCGACGTCGCACGCGCGTCGTTCATGCACTCCGCACTATGTTGAAAACGTTAATGGATTCATCGTTGTACCTCCTGAAGATAGCGGTGCCACAGCCCCATAAAGTTACCGTTAAGGGCCTAAACCTTTGACTTGGTATCTCTGGATGACAAAACTCACCGTGAAATCTAAGAAGACCGTGTAAAGCCGCGTGCTGCACCATGTACAGCACCGGTTCGAAACGTGTGCTCTGCTAACCTGTCTGAAACCGTAGTACAGTCATCACAAAATGACTTTTTGCTCACTTGGATTTTTAGATTTAGAACCAAATATCTTTCTGTATGTTCTCAAGTTGAAAGAATAAAGAGAGAGTTTACTAGAACAGACCAAGAGCTTTCAAACGCATATGCACATTTCATCAATCACAACCCAAAATATAAAGGAAAATCCTAATCAAAAAATGCGACAGAACTTATTACACGACCTGACAAAAAAGCACCTTCACTCGAAACAGTTTATTGTCCCCCCCCCTTTGTACCCTCCAACAAAAATGCTGGGACCGCCATTGGCGTTGCCCACTACTTCATTACTCCTTCCGTGCATCATATAGAGTTGAGCTCTTAACTTCTAGTCTTGCCTACTTCAGATGCAAGCCAGAAAGGCTGGACTTTTCAAAATTGTCTAAGAGAGACCGAGGTACGCTCAATCTGTTCAACATTATTCAACAGCAATCCTCTTTTTGCGCAGGTATCTGTAAAAGTCTGATGCTCATTGTTGCTCATGCTTCTCTGATTGGTGGCACTGCCACGCTCAACTCGACACCACCAAATCTTATCTTCAAATCTACTCTTGAAGAGTAAGCGCCTCAAGCTATATATCGAAGAGAGTAAGAGATAGTATTTTGTAAGTATGAACCCAACTATTCGTTCAGATATTTCCCCGGAGAAAACACCGGTATCAGCTACCCCTCATGGATGGCTTTTGCGATACCGCCGATGATCCTCTGCATGATAGCATCATGGTTGATTACTCAGGTCAGCGATCGAGCTGCTTAATAATTGAACCAAATTTCTAGCGCGATTCTATTAGGGTGTCCCATAGCTGTTTACCGTTTTTGCTACAACCGCCGTCTTTTTATAATTTTCTTTCAACTGAAGTAGATTAAGTAGTCATTCGACAGGGTAAACCAAACTCTACAAGATGGCCATCAAGGGTCAGCAGAAATCGTATTCCATGCGAAAGTTTGAGCTGAAATCTGATAACGGTCAAAAACTTTTCTGTAAAAAATCGTATCTCGCCTTCAAAAAAGTCTTAAGAACTCCTCATTTATTCTAGCATATGCTTGAAACATCGAACATTCAAATGTACACTTTTTGTACTTTTTCCATGGTTAGAAATAGAAATAAATAAAGAAAAAATGAATGGAATGACAAACTTTGCCCCTAGACGTCCTGAGTTTCTCCCACGCATGATCATAAGCTTTCACATACAGAATTATGACAATGTGTTTGTATCCTGAAGGTGTTCCAGTTGTTTTTGAGAAATGCTGACATTTGGGGTAAAAACGGTAAAAAAATTATGGGACACCCTAATACTTCCGTAAGCACTGAGTGAGTGAATTGCTTGATCCACACTGGAAAAATTTCTTCTTTGGGGCAAATAGCAGATGCGATGTTGCAGAACATGTTGAACAAACATGCCGGACCCGAACATGCTTCCTTGTTTCACCATCAACTTGGCATATAACTGAAATGCCTCGCATATTTTTCTTACAAGCGTGCGGAATTCAAGATGATGCCGGTAAATAAATGGTTGATGATGGACAGATGAGTGTACCAACTTGGTGGAAATCATATGTCACCAAATATGAACCATAGGCACATGATATTCCTGGAAACAACATTATATGAGAAGTCCGAAAACTTCTGTGCCGTAATACCTGTTCTCATAATTGTTGGTTTCAGACGAACCGACCGGATTGTTTCGGACCTTGAATATTGAATTTTTAAGTTTGTAGAAATGTCACAGATAGATTTGTGAGTATAAATGTATGGTACCATTTGAAAGAGTAAATCAAGGAAAACTTTGTTTGCTCAAAGAGTTCTTTTTTTTGATAGCGAAAGGTGCAGGGAAGCAAAAAAAGGCAGATTTTCTCGACAAATTTCCGAAAAATCATGCTTTAAAAACAAACTAAAATTGGATTCAAAATGCATGAATGGTACGCACACTAACGGTTTTGATATACCAACCATTTGCATGGCCATAGATGGTCAATTTCAAGTGACTCAAAAGCTCCGTAGCTGACTTCCACGCGCAGCTTGGAAATTCCCACAATTCTGGCTGCGGATATACAGGTTTCGATAAGAACACAACAACAAAGAGACATAAGATTTGGTGCACACATTACTGAAACAATAACAATACACTGCGGCATTCGAGTTTCGTGATAACATCTTTTCATGCTGACGGAAACCTCTAAACTGTGGTGATTGCCACAGCCGAGGCGCGCAAGTAGTCATATCCAAGCTACAAGACTTTTGGGACACCAAACAACACACCACAGCAAAAGGTTGTATGTATTCACTTACAAACTAGTCTTCTGTGCCCTTACTAGATTGACGCCTCTTTGCAGTTTGCTTCTTCTCATTCTGATCTCTCTCGCCGAGAGGTGGCGGTGCGAACGCGCCGCTGCTCCACTTGGATTGCTTCGACTATCACGGGTTGAAAAAGAATGTGCAAGCCGGATGCGAAACTTGGGAAGTCAAAAAAGTGATTTTTTGGAAGGCTAGCTATATTAGATCATAAATGTCTTTAAGACGGTCGTTAAAACGTTTAAGAAGTTTGGGCGTTAAGACGTTTAAGAAATCTAACAACGAGTGTGTGATAGTGGAGGCTTGAAACTACCTTATCCGCTTACGAAAACCACAGCTAAAGTACAGATACTTGTTTTTATGGAGCTTCGAAGTGTTGAAACGAAATTATTTATTGAATTTGATATTATCAAGGAGGAGTACCAGTGGCCGTATTCATCATTGATACCTTGAGGTAAGTTCTACCTCTAGGTAGTTTCACTCAATTATCAGCAAGTACCCGTATTCACAAAGTACCTTGAGGTAAATTCTCAATGTAATTTTGCTGATAATCTTATATATAAAGCTGAATGTCTGTTTGTCTGTATGTATGTCTGTCTATCTGTCTGTATGTCTGTACGTATGTTCCGAATAGAAAATTCCATTTCTGAACCGATCCGGACCAAACTTGGCACACATACACTACGGGCCCCGGCGGGTGTCATAGGCTACTTTTCGTCATCGATCGATATCGATTTTATCGATTTGTATCGATTTTTTGCTGAGTTCACCTACGGGGCTGGGAGTTGGCACAGGGGGGTAATCGAGCATGGGGATTCCGAATACAATATTGGTTTTCAGGATTATCGATTACTTTTATCGATTTTATCGATTTTTTTGCAAAGTTTGAGCTACGGGGCTGGGAGTTGGCACAGGGGGGTAATCGAGCATGGGGATTCCGAATACAATATTGGTTTTCAGGATTATCGATTACTTTTATCGATTTTATCGATTTTTTTGCAAAGTTTGAGCTACGGGGCTGGAAGTTGGCACAGGGGGGTAATCGAGCATGGGGATTCCGAATACAATATTGGTTTTCAGGATTATCGATTACTTTTATCGATTTTATCGATTTTTTTGCAAAGTTTGAGCTGCGGGGCTGGGAGTTGGCACAGGGGGGTAATCGAGCATGGGGATTCCGAATACAATATTGGTTTTCAGGATTATCGATTACTTTTATCGATTTTATCGATTTTTTTGCAAAGTTTGAGCTACAGGGCTGGGAGTTGGCACAGGGGGGTAATCGAGCATGGGGATTCCGAATACAATATCGTAATCAGCATGCTCGATTACCCCCTGTGCAAAATCCCAGCCTCACATGTCAAAATTTACAAAAAATCGATAAAATCAATAAAAGTAATCGATAATTCTGAAAACTAATATTGTATTCGGAATCCCCATGCTCACTTCCCCCCTGTGCCAACTCCTAGCCCTGTAGGTGAACTCTGCAAAAAAATCGATAAAAATCGGTAAAATCGACATCGATCGATAACGAAAAGTGGACTGTGACACCCGCCGGGGCCCGAAGTGTATGTGTGCCAAGTTTGGTCCGGATACGGCGGAGCCGGGTAAGCCAGCTAGTGAGTGATAAAACTACCTGGAGGTAGAATTTACCTTAAGGTATCAATGATGAAAACGGCCACTGATCATTTTCTGCCCTCTTCGCTAAAGGATAAATGAATTTACATGATAAGTATAATGACTTTTGAATCGTTTTTCAGTTTACGGTTAGTTACTTTTTTCCTCTTCCAGAGTTGCGAGTGCAACGTCCTGTCACGAGCACAGGGCCGCACTACCGCGCGTTGCATGCGGCAGCATCCAGGGCCCGGCACGCGTTGGTTTGGAGGTTTTTAGGAAACGAAGTCTCCCATGACTTCGCGAATATTTACGAAGTCCCTTTCGACGTGAAACTCAGTAGAGAAACCCTTATTCAACCAAAATAGCAACAAAAAGCGAAAAAGCGCATTTTGAGGTATGAACGTCTCCACGATTCGCGTAGAGGTGTATTGCAGACTTTGCCTGATAACACAGGTAAACTTGTTAAATCTCCATGTCATAGCATTGTTCTTCGTACTCTCTCGGTATCAAAAACTGCCACGCTTTGAGTTGGCAAAACCCCGCCTCTACACGTCGTGGAGTCGATGATATGTAATATATCAAAAAAGCAAAAAGAAAACATTTCAAGTCGATTAAAGGCTCTGCCATTGGGTATAGTACCATTTTGATGCTGGGAATGTCGAGAACCTCCTAGGCCAACCAAATCTGTAGCCTCAATAATCTTGCGATGCATTTTTCGCCACATATTTCAAAGGACACCGCAAGTGATTGGAGCGCGATATCTATCAACGCGTAGAATTATACTACTTTTGACTCAAAAAAGGGGAGAGGCAACGGTTTGATCCTCTCTCCTCACTATATGATAGATTTTTGACCGTTCTAATCGTCCAAATCAAAAAGGTCCAAAACTTATGTGAACTCTTCGATATTTATGCTCCGAACCAACCCAGTTGGTTTGGTAGTTGGTCTAGAAACCAACAAATTCGAGAACGGATATTAGGACACATAAGTTTTGGGAACTTTTTACATAACATAGTTTGGAGTAATATTGTGTACTCATAGCCCAAATTCGGAGCCATGTGATTGTTTGTGCGCTGTAAACAAGCCATTTGTTTGTTTGAGTCTTGTATTTGAAATTCGCGCGCTTGCGAAAGAACACGTTCAACTCGTGAAACCTGACATGTTCGTCGTTTTTTTGGCGCTTTTTCCGGGACCCCATAAAAACGATGTCCCCGTTGCTTCTAACTCCAGAAACGAAGTCCAGTTTGACCCCAAACCATCGGTGCCGGGCCCTGGCAGCATCCATTTCCCGTCACCGCAGGGCTTTCGCAGCGTCGTGGGCCCGACTTATGCCGAGCATGTGCGAACACGACACATGAGTAATTGAATGCAACCTTAGAGATGCTAGGATCACCCCCTTTTTCTATGCCGAATTGCTAATTCAGGTAATGACGCAGGGAAAGGATTGTTTTTTCCAACTGTAAAAATACTTTTTCGGTCGGTTTTCTTGCTATTTGTTATACGTCGATGTCTCTTACGTCAATGAAAAAACAAAGAAACTCGTCTGTCGCGACTGCCTATCTCCGGTGTAGACTGCCGAGCAGCGGTGGCCTTTGAGGAACACGAAAGGCGCCGAAACGTATGGCTATGGGGGAAAAATAAAGACCACTTTTCAAACCGTCCGGCACAATAGAAATTTGAACATACGAAAAATGCCAAGGTTTCATGAAAACAAGAACTTGGAAGACGACATATGCCAAGGTTTTCTGAAAACAAAAACTTGAAAGCTTCTGATGAAAGACTTTCGGGCGCGCATTGAAAGAAGTTTTTCTCATCTTGCCAAAAGTTGTTATGTGCTCGTGCTTCTCGTTGTCGCGTTTGACTATGCTTCACCTACGAGTCCTTAATCTTATGTCTAAAGTGCCAAGACAGGGCAACAACAGATCAATAAATTCGAAGTTTCTAGCTTTGCTTGCCTTGCTGCTTTATACTATTAGCGAATCCTAAAATTTCAAATACACTGTTGATTGTTTCACAAGTCCATCATCAGTTTACTTCAGTTGCAATTTGTCGGATTTCGCCATGTCTTAAGACTATTCGCTAAACCTACCGATGAAGAAGAAATTGATGAGAAGAATGTAAAGAAAGCAGTAAGCACTGCATACACTGAACTTGGAAGCATAACGTAAGTCCCAGACTTCTTTCAGGCTTAGATGCATTTCCTCTTGCAAAGTCAAGAGATACTGCCACTCAATTGTGTTAGTCATTTTTCAGTTTTGCTGAAATTTCAACGCTAATTATATTCATATTGACAATTCTATCGTGGATAACAAGAGATCCCAAAATATTTGACGGATGGGCAACACTTTTCAAACAGTCAGTTACTACGAAAATATTGAAGCTTCTTACTTGACAGCGTGACGTGATTTTAGGGGGTACATCACAGATGCTTGTACTGGAATAATTGCTGTATTTTTATTATTCGTGTGGCCAAGAGAATTGCCCGACTTTTTTTGTCTTCGACCCAAATCTGGTGCTACTGATTACCATTATCCCTCACTGTCAATTATTAATAAGCGAATAAATATTAAGAACGCAGACGCCCAGCCATAAACCGTAATGCAATTCTGACCTGGGATGCAGTGAGGCAACGATTTCCGTGGTCTGTCATTTTGCTTCTTGGATCTGGATTTGCAATAGCTGAAAGTGTAAAGGTAAGTTCACGCTTTTCATAGTTTTTGACATAGTTGATGACGTAAAAACTTTTTTGGAATAGGTAACAGGTATAATGTGAGCAAGCTGTCATAATCAACATTAAGTTTTTCGTTTTCTGTTCCAATCTTTCGCATTGTCAGTCATTCAAGAACATCCACTCTTAAGCGAGATATGGCCATGCGACGGTGATGTCCATACATGTATGGACATGTAGGGACATGTCCATACATGTCCATACATGTCCATACATTCGCGTCTATTTTTCAGAAAATGTGAGCGATATTGTATCGTTTATTCGTTGACCGTAACGACTGCTGACCGCGCGGCGACCGCTGCGCGTGCATGATGTTTTCGTAGAAAAGATGAATAGAAAGAAAACAGAGGATTCTTCTCATCTTTATAATGTAGAAAAGAAACAAAGAATTCTTCTCATCTTAAGCCATGGTCCAACTTGTCACTTTTTCGCAAGTTTAGAAGGCATGCGTCGCAGTCGCCACGCTGTCGGCAGTCCGTACGGTCAACGAATGAACGATACGTGCATACGGATCTCAAAGGCAGCGTCCAAGCAGATTCTCGACTTCTATATTTTTATGTTATTCAGGCCTTTCCATGGCGCTTTCCGAATACGAAACTCAAAAAGCGTGAATTTTTTAGAAAACCACCTTTTGGGGCTATTTTGGGAAAACAACCCAGACGAGTGCTTCTGATGTTATCCTCGTCGAAAGCAAGTATTTATAGGTAAACGCTGTAAGCTCGACTGTGTTGGTCATGTGAAAACACGTCAAGGCTGAGGAGATTTCGTTCATAAGGGTTGGCCGTCCGAGGGAAGTGGGCGTGGTCGTCGAGCTCGGATCTGCCTGGACGCTGCCTTTAAGGAACTTTCAAAAGATCAATTATCATTTTGTAATGCCGAAGCAGTATTGAATCTGAGTACTGAACTCGTGTCAAGAATGGCATGAAATAGTACATCGCAAAATACTGAGAAGACAGGTCCTCATGCCCTGTTTGTGATACAGAATTCAAACCTTTTGTTACGAATGCTTGTTCGAATTAAGCCTTGAGTTATTCCAAACCCATTTCGATAAACGCTATTGTGAAACATCAATTCAACTTTTGATAATCCTCCTTCTTGTTCGGACGCAATCTCAAGAACATCTCATAAATTGTTAAGCATTGCTAAGGGTTTCCCAAATCATCAGATTGAATTTCAGAATTGCTAGCAACAATTTATAGTTGTTTGATTAGTAATTTTGTTTACTTCAGGGCCTCATTTTGGACTTGATTCTTAACTTGCTTTCCATATACATATATCAGTGAGTGCCAAAGGTTGTAGGAAGTGGAAATTATCTTGAATTCCATTTATTTCATTAACGAAAACCACGGAAAGGGATCTCAAATTTACTTCCCACAATTTTACTGCGTATTCCAAAGTAAAGTTATGCGAACTATTTCTTACGATTCTCTCCGAGCTTCTGCCAAGTTTATCTGGACTTGCCGGATTGTTCGGGCTCTTGATTATTTCCTATCGGTATGGCGGCAAGGCCTTTGGTTCTTCCTGCTACGCCCCCATGAAATATTGGTCGAATTTCTCAAAGTTTTCTTTTTCCCAAACAGATAGCACCTAATCATACGGTTTACCCATTCATTTTCAGGCTTATTTCAAAGCTTCTTTACAAATCTGCATTTAGGATAGCGGTTTGTCGGCTTGGTTGGCATGTCGACTAGAATCCTTACTTTCAAACCTTCCGCACCCTGCCATGCAGGTGAGTATTTTGGTCCCTCCAGCGCAAGATATCAAAAATTATTTAGTTCATCGTCAGCATCTCGGCAGTAATTATCACAGAATTTTGTACGAATACGGCTACAGCTAGTATCATTTTACCTATTGTATTCGAAGTTGTGAGTTTCAGATAAGAGCTTGATGCGTTGAAGAAATTTTAGCCTTTCTGTGTTCTGTTTAGTCAATAAGAATGAAAGTTCATCCGCTATACCTTTCGCTGGCAGCTGCGGTCGGTCCATCGTATGCCTTCATGTTTCCGATGGCATCCCCTCCTAATGCCATCGTTTACGATACTGGTGCTATGAGTATGCTTGATATGGTGGGTTCGAAATTCGGAGGGGTGAGCCAACTCAATCACAAGTCTCCTTATTAAGGCCTCCTGTGGTATATTTCTGAACGTGGCGTGCATTCTTATCACTGTTCTGAATCTGAATACGTGGTCACATTGGCTATTTTCATTGGGCACCTATCCAGAATATGCACTTCATCATAACGTTACTTCTAATTGCATGTAAAGGTCTCTTGGAACTTTATGTAAATACTGAATAGTTGGAATATTGAATAACTTTTGAAAAGTTGGCTTAGTCTTTTGAATGACGCCCTCTTCAATGTTCAAACATTTGCAGAGGCTCAGGGTAAACCCAAAATTGTATTCGCTCCTGCTCACATGAATAATTAATTCTTATGTGTATAGCAGCTCTTGAAATTACCATTGTGTGGTGTGTCCGTTCACAATATTAGGTTGCACATACGTTTTGCAACTTTGTTTATTACTTCCTTCTCTTTGCATGAGAAGCATAAAATATTGGCGTTATGTGTTAGGTCAGTACAGAAATTTTTTTTGAATCAACCGTTAATTTCGGTAGAATAAAGCTAAACAAACATTTTAAACTGTATCCGATCTTCTTCCAGCTGCTCTATTCAAAGTGTGATTCATTGGGAGATTGCTGAGATGATCGCTGGAAATTACAACGCTTTGTTTCCACCATGTCTAACTTTCGCTGATTTTTACAATTTTTGTGACTTTTGGGGGAGCTTTGATAGCCAGCAGATAGGGCAAACCTTTTGCCAAGAAAGCAGTTTTTTCTATTTTTTTCAGCCTCTCTTTTAGATTCTGCTCAATGACTTTCCGAAAGTCGACGATAGTACATGGTCTCGACATCTCTAACGTCGAATGAAGAGGTGGAAACGTAAAGATTTTATTTATTGAGATCATCAATAAGCAACGACTTGGACTACAGTAATCCCTGAGCACAAAACTTCTAGTAGATGTACACAAAAAGTGAGGAAACCTTGAAATATGAAGGCAAAACGTAGAAAATTACCGGTAATATTTCTAGAAAGCACGAGCACACAATCTAAAAATCTGTTCTATACTAGTCTTTCTCCTGTCAGTTGCTGAATGAGGCGTTGATTGAGCTGGAAGTTCGTCTCCAGAAGCATTGCCCTATCTCCTAGCGTCAGCTAAATAAATAAAGCTGAGATTGTTTAACTTATTTGATTTCCTCCTTACCTTTGGTTTCTGAAGCCTGAACAGTGGATGTACAGGTATAGGAACTCCCTGTTTGAGAATGTCGTTTACTATACGTTGTAAGATTTCGCGTGAAAGGAAACCAGCGTCGTCCAGCTCTTCTTGAACCAGCACTTGTGGAGATCGTGAAGTCTGAAATTGTCAACGATAAGACGATGGAATTCGTCCACAAGTCGCGCACGACTTACCAGTTTTATTGTTTCTAAACTGACTCTTCCGCGTACAATACGCGATGTCATCTTCATTTTCATAGAGGCGTCTATGTATATCTCCATGGAGCCAACTGGTGTGTCGCCATTGGCATCAATCGATAAAACTTCAATCAATCCTGTGAGCTGGAAGCGGATCCCACCTATGATAAGCTATTTGTATAGGCTATAAAATTTCGAAACTCTTAGGCACAGTTCAGAATCGTCTCTGAGCTGGCGCCGTGTCAGCATCGTACCAGCGCCGTGCCAGAGCCGTGCTATAACATTTAGTGGACGCGCCTCAGCATCCCGGCTTGGCAAGGACATAGGCAGCTCACGTGCCCTCACTAAAATAGCTTACCATGCTCGGGAGGACGAACTATCACCGCAGGAGCTTTGAGTGTCGAAAACATGAATGCGACGCCACGACCGGGATTCTGAACCAATACATGTCGGTCAAAGCAATCGATATATTGATTGAATAAAGCATACTTGATCCCTGAGTGTCGGAAATAAATCTCCTACGCAGAATAATGACCCAGTAGTTAAGTCGCATGTTGTTCGCATTACTGGTCCAAATTGAGGGGTACTTGGATCAACACGTGTGTTGAAAGCACCGATTCTGTAAATCGTGCGTATGATATGACCGCCAAATTTGCCCGCGCGTGAGAGCAGTGCCAGCGCGTGCCAGCCCGTGCCGGAACCGTGCTGGAACCCGTTGGTCGATTGACATACTGGCACGAGCATCCCGCACCTGGCACGTGCTGGCACGGCGCTGGCACGGGCAGCTCGCGCAGCATAAGCCATGCGTCACTCAATAAATTTCCACTACCGTACCTATGCCCATGATACATCAAACTATTTGGGACAAAATCAGATACGGCCACTTGAAGAAAGGCGCTGCTTGTCGGTGGAGGCAATGAAATCGGGTGCGGCCCAAATGGAGTACGAGACCCGGAGCGGGAGATCTCGCCCGATGTCGCTATTTCTATGCCACGCGAGGAGATCAATGGAGCCTCCATCATACCGTAATCGAGTATGAGCGAATCGGCGCGGGACTAAATGAATTGTGCGGTAATGGTGGCTCTAAGGAAACTCGTCCAGACGTTACCATATTGAAGCTGTCTATAAACGTTTGCAAACGACTCTGGCGTTGTACTCTTGTGAGAGGTCGAGTGACAAATCTGAATTTTGGAAGAATTCTAAAATGGGCAGGGCTTGATAAATTTGTTTTCTTTATTGGTTGTGGCTCAATCACTAACCTCCTTCGCGGGAATGGTACATCTCGTGCGATCGCTTTGCTAGAAAACACACATTACTAAAAATTATGAAAATATTGATTGATTAGAACCTACTTTCGTCGAATAGTGCGACGAAACTCATCTTGTGCAGCTAATAGGCTTTTGACCATATCGAAATTGTTTAAGTCTCCCAGTGCAATCTTCGATGACAACAAACCAAAGCGTTGATTAATCTGCGCAAAAAATCAATAATCGGATTGTCATTAATGGAAATCTAAGAGCCACCAACTCTCTTTTCGACCAAGTAAATTATGCGAGGGCAAAGAAGATTTTCGAAGAGTTTGTATCCATCGCGGGAGACAGCATCCTAAATTTCAAATTTTTATTTTCAGATTTTTTCAAGGCAAAAACATTTAGAATTAACTTACAGCGAATCTTGCACCACTTTCGGGTGTCAACGAATTTTGCACTGTTACCATGACGGGAAAATTTGCAGCTGCCCGACATAATGCAACCTAATAATTAAATGATTTGTTCCTCTTCAATCAACAATTTCAAAAAATTTACCCTCAAGCTGGGGTTTCCTCTAGTGTTGCGTTTGATTTGGACATGCACATCCAGATGAAAACGATTTGTATGTATAGTGACAGATCCAGTCAGTGGGACATCGTCAATGTGGCCGGATCCAATGGCGCTGACGCTGGAATTTTTTTCATCGAATTTTGATCTGAATTTGTTTTAATTTCAATTTTTGATTCACAAGAACATTCGTTAAGAAAAGATGAAAAAAATTTCGCTTTTGGATATGGTTTACCGATCGCAGAACGTGTGTTCGAATTTGGCCACAAATTTTTGGCCTAGCCACGCCCCTTTTTGAACTAGCCACGCCCCTTCTGGTGGCGTATTCACTGCTGGTTTGTTGATGGACGAATCCTTTGTTTTAGGTCGCATTTCTGACATTTTCCAAATTTTTTTCCAATAAGAATCACCTGAGATTCATATCCCGCATACTGACGGCAACAACATCGGGTGTTCTTGGGACAACGTCAGAAATCTCCGGGGTTTGAAAGAGAAGGAGTTCCATGGACGAGAGGGTCACTGTGGGTAGTGAGTCCATCTGCAATCAAGATTTTGGAGGGCCTAAACTTGATTTGAATTTTAAGCCGATTTTTGATGTGGTCAAATGATTTCACTGTCCGCAATGGAGGCGGTCCTTTTGCACCGCTACAGTATAGTATCAAACTATAACCCTTACCTGCGAAGTGCGAGAAGATATTTTGTTGCGTTGCATAGTACAAAAAGTGAATTGACTGTTGATTCTGCGTCTATTGCAAGCTTAGCAGAGGTGAATTACAGTATACGTTCATACTGTAGCGGTGCAAAAGGGTCACCGGACAGTGAATAGCTTTTGATCTTTAACTCCAAATTGTACTGACAGGGTGATTGATAGCAAATCTCACCACTGCTGGTTTTGGATCAAATGGCATTTTGGCTCTGGCTATCTCGGGAGTCAAGGTCTTCGCCACCATTCTGGTTACATAAGCAGTTCCAGACGTTGTAACTCGTACTCGTACACCTGGACCAGCCTAGACAATAAAATTTGAGCGCTGTAAATTTCTTCCGTGCTCGTACATTCGTCAAAGGGAATGCATTCACATTCTATTTGACGAATGCATCGCTGCTCTACTTCGCAAAAAAGGTTCTTCACTTGAATGGTTTATGAAAATGACAAATCGTTTTCTCACTTGAAGTGACAATTTCAATTTTCTTTGACTACAAAGGGCTAATCAGCAAGTTCTTTGCTTCCACTTGCACCTGTTCTGCTGCTTCTCGCGCAGAGACCATTCTTCGACTCCATTTTGACTTATTGTTCTTACATTTGTATCGCTGACAGTCATTTAAAAAAAGTGATTGTTTGACATCGTTACACCTTTCATTTTGTTCATCGGGTAGAAGTGGGTGATTGATTTGAAAGACTTTCTTTTTTGATGCAATGCAAGGGTTTGTTTTCTTTGTTTTCTTCTGATTGATAAATGTCCTCTCCAAATTCATTCATCATAATTAAAAAGTGATCTGAAAGAATATTTTCACCAGAGCAAAGAAGGAAAAAAGGCAAAAAGGCAAAAGGCCTCCGAAAGGCATTGATACAAAGCTAATTTTGATTTTGAAACATCCAAAAATATATCAGTTATCAAGTGAAAACAATTCACATGCACAGTGAACTTTGACAGATGGAACTTTTGTCATCTTCGCTGCGGGACTACGTTAGACGCCAAGTGATAAGATACTGTTCAGAGGCAATGTCCACCCAAATCAGCTTCTATGTATTTGACATTCTGGGCCTTTCCGTAGCTGTGATTCCAAATGTAGAGTCACAATGTCTGAAACTTCAAGAAGAGGTCTTGTAGGCCCTAGTGCGACGACATTCAGTGCTTGGAGGGCGGAACTTGATAGGATGTGCGTAGCATGTTTTTCCTTTTAGGGACCAGCTAGATGACCAGACTAACGTACACGCTCCTCCGCTGGAGTCTGCTTGTAGACTAGGTACTGATTGGGGTGGCATAGATAGATTTTGCCTGGACGCTGCCTTTAAAAAGCTTGTTATTACTTTTATAATGACTGAAGTCGGATTCCAGCCATTATGTGGCTCAATTATAGCCCTCAGGATTACCGAAATCAAAGAATTGAAAGCAATAAGAGCTTAGGAGTTTTTCTGCCCGGTTTGTTCCCATTTATCCGTTATAAGAGGGTAAGGGCAACCTTGTCTAGCAAGACACTGTAAAAGCGCACAAAATTCACTGAAACTTACATTTTGGGTGATTCTCTGGAAAATTGCAAATGGAGGCAGTAATGGCTAGAGTACGTACCAATATATCTAATGGCACAGTATGAATGTTGGCTGCAGATTTTATTCAGAGTTTGTGGAAAACTTGGTTGATTTTTTCATATGGATGGGAAAAGCAAACTATCTCAGTTTAGAATGATGTGCATTTTGTAGAAAATTCCGAATGGAAGTAAAAGCGCTAGACATGAATTAAAAGGAAGAAATTCATCGATTATGCAGTCCAGTAAAAATATAGTTGAGTGGTTACATTGCTTCATCAATCAGAAGTTCTCTTTATAACAGCAAATAAAAACGAAAACTTCGACACTCCAAACTACTGAAAGACTTACCGTTTTCTTTACTGTTTTCAGTGCTGTCATACAAAAATCGACAATCACAATCATTTCTACATCAAATTTCGCATTTCAGTTCAAGTTCCTGTCTTGAAAGACTAATGAATACTGAGGTTATTGTCAGGGCAAATTCCCATTGCCAATAGCTCTTGGTGTTTTCACACGGAACTATCAATTTTTAGAGTATTTCATACTTATACAAAAGAATGCAAAATGAAGCTAATTTACCAAATTCGCATCTCCAGCCAGAAGATCACTGATAGGATTGAGTTGAGGTTGAGCATGTACGGTTACCACGAGCTGTAACAAATAGTTAAAATAACTTAATAGAAACAAAGAGATATTGTTCTTACCAATGAAATTGCTGTAAATCCGCACCATCTCGTTGAAAATCCATTCATCACTCTGGAATGTTTGGAAAATGTCTACAAAAAACGTCTCAAAGAAAAAAACACACACGCACGTGGGCTATAGGGTGGCTAAGCTGCAAAGCTATGGCCGTGAGCTTTTAAACGTCATGTTTAAAACCGGTAGGATACACGCTCGTCATTGTAAATCGTCAAGGCAAATGATGCCAGAATATAAACAAAAACATCGTTCGTTGTTCGTTTAGGTGAGAACATAAGCGATCAACAAAGAACATAAATTATGCAGCTTTTACGCATTAAAGGAGTTTCAAAAAAAGTACTATGATCGAATAAGGTAATGAAAATTTTTCACCTCGAATTAAAACGTGTACTCATTCGACAGGTGAATGAACAGAACAATAAATTAATTTTTCCTTTTTTTGGAAGACAAAGCGCTATTGCTGAACTAAGAATTTTGGTATTTCAAGGATCCGGTTCGGAATACTTAATTCGCCAATTGATTCATTTTCTGGGATTCTAACTCGTCTTTTCCTACATCAAAAGCTGGTTATCCTGACAACATCAAAAACCTTAATTTTTAGTGTGACAAAGCTCATTGAAATTGAAAAGAAAATTTGAAAAATATCTTCACACACTTGAGAATTCAGAGTTGTCAATTAGACCTAAAGTGCGTGAATTCCTTTCCTGAAACTAACATATCTTATCTAATCTCCCCTGGTTATCCATAACATCAATTTCCTTAAGTGACAGGCCTCTTTGTAAATCCGGCAAATGTCGCTAATAGAGCAGCTTTGTCACTGGCTCGTTAAAGAGCGTTCGCAAAAATCGCAGGTTCTCACAGCGATGCCCCATGTAATTTTGTGCTTTATGCTGTTACACAGGTACAAAAAAGAAAATCTTCCAAAAGGCAAATTTTTCAAGAATGCATATGAAAAATTTTTTACTTTTGATTTGAGTCTTTTTACCAGTTTTATTAGTTGGCGCGAGAGTTCTGGGACATTTTTAAACTAGATCTGCTATTTCTCGAAACCTAACGCATATACATCAGATAGAGGTACCATTAGATAGAGCAAAGCAAGCTCTACAGGATGGTATGCAAAAGTTTCACCAGCTTCGATCCACTAAATTCATATTATTGTTCAAACAAATCCTACGGATCTCCAATTTGCTCACAAAAATTGCACATTACATCAGACACTCATATGTACCGTTTCTGTATTTTTTCCTCATCTGGAAATCGAGAAAACGAAAATCTTCATGCTTATATAAAAACGAGGCTGTGCTGTTTCCACCCATCTAATTGAATAGTACAAGCTCTTAGAAGTATAACCGTAGATTTTCAGCTTTCTACAGGCTCAAGTTCCCGAAATTGACCGAACTGAGCTCTCCTCACTCGGGCGTTCTATGCTAAAATCAATATTTTTCAACAACTAGGGCTTACAGAAAGCTGAAAATTTGCGGTTATACTTCTAAGGGCTTGTACTATTCAATTAGATGGGTGGAAACAACACAGCCTCGTTTTTATATAAGCATGAAGATTTCGTTTCCTCGATTTCCAGATGAGGAAAAAATACAGAAACGGTACATATGAGTGTCTGATGTAACGTGTAATTTTTGTGAGCAAATTGGAGATCCGTAAGATTTGTTTGAACAATAATATGAATTTTCCGCAATTTTTTGAATTTCAGTACGACTCAATTTTGAGTGCAAACTTACGGTGGATCGAAGCTGGTGCGAACTTTTGCATACCATCTTATAGAGCTTGCTTTGCTCTATTGAATGGTACCTCAATCTGATGTATATGCGTTAAGTTTCGAGAAAGAGCAGATCTAGTTCGAAAATGTCCCAGAAATTTCGAGCCAACCTAATATTCTAGCTTATCTAAAAAGTCTTCTTCATGTTCTTACTAATGGGAGAGCTACGCAGAATATGTAGCTTCTTTTTTGCCGCTCATTTGTAACAAAAAAAATTTGTGCGAAAAATACCTTTAAAAAAGGCTAAAATTTCTGTAGACTCATTTGCTGAGACTAATGAGATTATAGAATGCAAATGATTTTAATTTTTATCAATCAAGCGGTTCTCTCCTTCTTTCCCATCATCTAAACGAAGACTTGATGCGAGAGCTCAATCGTCATAGAGAAAATTGATCATTTTGATAGTTTTAGATTATCTGAAACACTGTTGCAAAATTAAATTAAGAAAATGTAGTCAAATCTTGAGAAAAATGGAGTAAAAATAAGGATCAAATCATAGGTCATGAGATATGATCGCAGGAAAGGATGAGGAGACGAAAATAACCGGTTGACGTTTTAGGTTTTAACCTAATGCAATCCAAATGAGGGGGAAAGTGAAGCAACTGGTATATTCCTTGCTTAAGATTTGACGACATGGCTTGAAAGTTCCAAAAGATTATCAAATCCGACATGGTTGGTTCGGGAATTCTTATCTTTGAGTGAATAAAAGAGGGGAATGAATACTTTGGAAATTAATTAAATATTCATACTTTCCCGTAATTTCCCTACAATCTAGTTTTGTTCTCCAGCAAAATAAAGTTTTAATATGTCTCACAAAAAATTTTATGTAAAAAATGCCGCCATCGTGAGCTATAATCTCAAAAATTTCGCAATCAAACAAAATCATTAACATAAAAGTAAAAATGAATCAAATGGAGATGCCAAATGATAATTTAAGAGTAAAAGTTGGTGAATTAGGCTGGAATTCTGAAAAAACAGAGATGGACTAGAGTTTGAAAAAGCTTCTTACTTAAGATGGCGCAATCTGGACAGGAAACCTTTAAAATCGAAAGTAAATAGAGGCAGCGTCTGAACCGTCCGACACCGTTGCTTTTATATGGTTTTAAGCTTTACAGTCGTGGTCTTCTACCCGTCACTCACGGGGCGTTGTGTTCGCGCGTCTCAGAGCGTTGTCTTCACAACATAAAGACAATGTATCCATGTTATTACACTGTGGTAAGTGCGCTTGTTTCGAGAAGCACTGAAAGGACCGGGGAGAAGGGTCATAGCGCCGCGGGTGGAGGTCGTCGAAAGGCTATGAGTAAGGGGTACAATGGGAACGTCACTTGGGAAAAATCGTATTGTGTAGGCAGGAGAGAAAACTCGATCTTTTGACAGCAGTTCTCGAAAAGTGATAAACACCGGAGGGGGCAAGTTCCGCTGTTTTGAACGCAAAACATCGCGACCGATACATTGCAACAACCGTTCCAGATAAAGGCCAGAATGAATGGCAAGGAAATTCGCATTCAGAAATGTCATAACATCCTTTCAAAGGGAATAGTGAACACTGCTAGAGGAACAAATAGCCATTTACTATGCTTTCAAGCGTTTTTATACCAGATACCCTACTAGGGGTCTCGCTTCTTCCTGACAAAAGACTTGACCGCCATTGTGCGCATTGTTTTCGTCTAAATGTTTTCGTCATCTCTGATCGCTCCCACTCGACCACACTCTCTTAAAGCAATTCCCTGGAAGAAGTACCGGAAAGTGACGGTCATGACATTGTAGGCTTGTTTTGGCATAGAATTCTCTTGATTCATTAGTTTAACACAGAAGGCATTGACTTGTCTACATAAATCAGTTTCTCTTTGCTGCTAAATTGTCGCTTTTATCGCCTTAAAATTTTCAAATGCAATCGACTTCGCCGAATTAAGAAAAAACCGCCCAAAATTTACGAATTCATATTGAGTGAGAATCTTTTGACTTCAAAACAGAACTGTACGATCTTTGAGTTTTCGGAGTAACTTTACTTTGCTTTCGGCATTATCTGAAACACTGATTTTTGCAACTGCCAAGTGACTTGAATGACTACCGCCCTTTTTAAGCTTCTTCTTTCCCAAGTTCAATTTCTCATCTGAGATTTTCACAATTTGAAAATATGTCTTTGTGTCAGTTTTGGTGTCATCTTTATTTTCAGAGTATATAAGGGTAACTGAGTCTGGATTACTTTTGTTTGAGTATTTAAGATTAATGGTTGTTTGAGAATATGAATTCTTCACAAATATTTAGTCGAAATACAGCATGTTCACGAGCGCTTCAAATAAACAAAATAAGTACAATAAAAGATAGAACAAACTCTAACTCTTTATCAAAGTCCCACTTGCTGGAAGGTTTTCACTTCTCTGATCTTCTTTTTTCAGCCGTTAACCCACGCTTTCATTTACAGATCTAGTGATCCGGTCTAGTGTGATCAGATCTAGTGACCCTGTCGGTTTTTCACTTCTTTTTCACCAATCCTTGCATAGCAGTTTTTGCAGCTTCTTATTTTTATGATCACTTTCATTCTTGTACTTGTCGATTAGCTTCACTACGTAGGCTTTCTGTAGGTCTTCTCCAATATCTTGGGTAAAAGTATAATCTCTCAAGATCGAGCCGGGATCCCCAAAGCAATGCGTTGTGAATCAAGAGTTTTAACTGAGTTTTTCCTGAAAAGAATCCCAGCTTTAGTAGTTCAAACGTGTACTTGTTCTGGAAAATGGCTATTTTCCCGCTCTTAAACGCAAGGCTAAGAATGCGTGTACTTGAGCAGACGTAGAGACTCTGGTTATTGAAGGTCTAAAACGGGTAAAAAAATATGGCCATGGCTCAAAATTTGGGAAGCATTGCCAGTCAAGTAATATTTATCAAAAATTTTCTCTTCATTGAAACATTATAATCAACACATAAGGAAAACGCAAAAGATCAGGTCTTGATGAAAGAAAACACGACCTCAAATTATTCAAGGTAAACTTGCTAGCTCTTACGGAAGCAAAGCGGTACTTTTCTTTATCCGGACCCATTTCTTCAAAATGTTACCATGAAATACTGTTACCATGTGCTCCAGGCTAGAAGTATTTTTTCGTAAATCCTGCGAGGACTGTCTCCTTGCCACGTGTCAAGATGAAAATTGAGACGTTTGAGGCCAGTTTGACATGTTTTTTCAAAATCATTTCCAGTGAGTTATGAGAGCATTTAAAATGGTTCAGAAGCTGTTAGGGGTCTTTTATAAAAGCAAAACTGCTTTAAACTTCTATTAAAACA